CTAGTTCGCAGTGACATTATGCCGTCCTCTCCGTTTCTTGCATTGGTTCGTGAGAATCTCGACTCAAAACGCTTCGGCTGGATCCCCTGGAGACTGCGATCTTCTGCATTTGATGAGGAGAAGTTTCTGGAGCAGCGTCGCCCTCGGACGGATGCCAAACTTCTCACACGTCTTCTGCAGGAAGGTCAACCTCAGGAAGAGTGCACTGCATCGGTGCCTCAGTCCGGTCCGGTGGAGCCCATCGTGCGTCGGTTTTGGGACCTTCTGATGTATGCCATTGCTCTGCATGATGGTGCTCACTTATTGCATCTGAGGAAAGCTGCCGAGAAGTTTCTCAGCATCGCTCTTGCAATTCCCTCTGATCGCAACATGCGACCTCCATCACTGCAGGAGATTGCTGAAGCAGACCGGGCACTCTGGGTCGGGGTCGCTTCCATTCAGTCCGACCAAGGTTGGTCACTGACTGACGCCCTCGCCGAAATGATTTTCGCGCGCCCGGATGTGTACACTGCATTGGCGCCGCGCTTGAAGCCCTTGACTCCTCCTGCTCCTCCGGCTGCATCAGGTGCCAATAAGCGCAAGCAGCCTGCATTGCCGCCTCCGCCACCACCGCACAAACAACCCCGTCCAGGGAAGGCGAAGGCTAAGGCTACATCCAAGAAAGAGGCTGCTCCGAANNGTACAGTTGATGGCAAAGGCCCCTGCGTTCGTTTTCACAGTGATAAGTGTAGGAATAAGGCCTGCCGCTTTTCGCACAACTGTCCCATCCTGATGGGTAACAACACTCCGTGTGGCAAACCCCATCGCGCAGCGGATCATGCATCGGCGCCCCATTGACTATCTTCCATCTCGGCTCAGGCGTCTGCGGATCAGGGGGATGCTCCTCCCGATTTTGCCGCTCCCTCTTGCCCCAAAGCCGAGGAGGTTGCCTTGCATTTATTGGACAGTGGCCCGGTGCCCACCTGTGCAGATGTTTTGCGCTTGGCTGAGGCACTCCTTAGGGAATCCCCGGACTTGGATGACCGGTTCGAATCTGGCAAATCTGTGTCGGCCGGTCTCTTTTTCCGATTCAAGCCGGGGGCCCGCAAACTGTGCATCTCCCATCCTGCCTCTGTCCGTGCTGTCAACAGGCTCATTCGGGCCTTAGCTCCGGATGTTTTCTTTTCCAGTTTTGTTATCATCTCAGGTGTGCATTCTCCCCGACATCAGGACCGTCTCAATGCCCGTGCCCCCAACGTCCTGATTCCATTGTCATGCTTCTCGGGGGGCGAACTTCGCGTGTTCGAGGCGGCTCCTCACACTGATGCTGTTCAGCCCCTGCCGACTGCACCCCTTGCCTTGCTTCCTGTTGCATCAGGTCCAGTGTCCTTCAATGCTCGGGACTGCCCACATGAAGTGCTGCCTTCCCAGGGATTGCGTGTGGTTCTCGCAGCCTACACTCTCGAAGCTGCGCTTCATCTGGATGCCTATCCTGCGCTTCGTTCCGACCTGGCTGCGTTAGGTTTCCCTCTGCCACCAGCGGACTTTGTGTACACTGCCCGCGACCTGCAGCCCCAACTGCGTGCTCTTTCAGCGTCACAGCAGACCTTGCTCCCGTCGCATTGTGATACAGGCATGCCCCCATCAGACCCTCCGTGTGCATCTCCGGCAAAGTCCTGCCCCTCTGCATCGCTTGGGAAGGATGCCCCTCTTGGGCCCTGCAACCTTCCTCCAGCTACACCCAGGCTCTTCCTGGACTTATTTGCAGGGGCTCGCACGCCTGTTACGTCTGCCCTGCTTGCACTCAACTGCGACTGTTTCCCGCCTGTGGATCTCATCATCGATGCCTCTCGCGACATCCTCGATGATGACTTCTTTGCATTGCTCTGTCGCGTGGCAGATGCTGGGCTCGTTGGGACGACTCTTGCGG